CCACTGGCCAGCATGTTCACCAGCGGGGTTGTCCTCCTGACTGCTGGCAGTGCCATCCTCCTCTGCCTGCTGCTCTACCTGCTCTGCACCTCCTGCCACCAGGCTGCTCCTAGGAGCCTGGAGACCGGCGAGATCCGTGTCTTCACCATCTCCGGCCGCCTCGCCGCAAACAGGCGGCTTCCTCCCACCTCCAGCATGGCCAACCTGATCTGACCCAGCACACCCCTGCGTGAGCCTCCAATACGACCCGTCAGCAGGGCTTGTGCCGGCCTTTCCCGAAGGAAGGGCAAGCATTGCGGTGTGCCTTGCGCTTCTTTCGGAGATTATTGGCATTTGCTTTGCCCCAGGCTGACAGCACAGCAGGGACTTGGGGTGCCTGGACGGGCCCTGTGACCTGGCACATTAGGAGTGCAGCACTAGTCTGGTTGGTGTTTCCGCAAAGCTTCCTGCGACAGCTGCTGACCCCGTCACAGAGTTAAGGTGAGCCTGTCCTGTACCCCTGGGGACTCCAGTACTTGCTTGGTTCCCGTGGTTCCTGGAGCTGTGTCGTGCGCTCTCCTGGCAGGAGAGGCTGTGATTGCAGGCGGTATAAAGCCACCCTGTGCTCTGTGCGGAGCTGCCAGCTCCTGAGCAAAGTAGAGCCTCTAGCAGCTGATGAATGGCAGGAAATATTCCGCACATCAGCAGGCATGCAGTGCAAGTGAAGGGAGCTCGGTGGGAGGTACAGCTGCAGGGGCTGCTCCCGAAAAAGCACCTGTGTGTCTGCGGGAGTGAGAGTGGGATTTGCATGGGAATTCTGTGCGCCAGAGCCCTAGCATGGCCAGACCTGACATGAAATGCCATTTGTGTTTGCAATGCCAGGATCTGTTCCAATATGACCTTTCTGCAGCCCACCATCTTCCGTGGTTTATCAAAGGGGTGATCAAAGGGTGTCGGTGTCAGGGCCCTGAAGGGTTATCAGTGCTGGATTGTGTGTTGCGGCTCTGGTTTCTCTCTACAAGGTGTCTTTCCCAGAGGCAGACTAACAATTCACCCCCCTGGGAGCTTTTCCTGTGACTTGAGGCTAATTTACCTGCCAAAATTCTCATTTCCCCCATAGTCCCATAAACCATTTCACTGCCCTTTCCATAGACACAGATCCTAACCTCCTAGTGAAGCTGCTCCTGCGCAACCTTCTCCTCATCTTCCTGTCTGCTCCTATCTCCCCCTCACTTGAGCTGCTCTGCCCCAGTCATTATTTTTTGCTCATTATTTGCCAAGTTCCAACTGTAATGGAACAAGACTGACCTATTGGGTTTTGGTGCCTGGTAGCAAATTGATTTGGAAAAGGACAGTAGCTCATTCCCTTAGTAACAGCACAAATCACTGTCCATGTTACACCTGGAGATAGAGTTCAGCATCAGCGAACCCCACCAGGTATACACCAGACAATGAGGACTTCATCCCTTCGCAGCTCCAGACCACACTATCACCAATGCACTCCGATCGCATGAGGGCACTTCTGTATTCATCTGCTCTTACCCTGCTCCTGCTGGCTTTCCTTCCCCCAAAGCCTTGGATTATTTTCCCAAAGTATGAGAACATCATTCTGACTTTTCTGGATCTCTGTTATTTCTACATTTTCCTCTGCCACTTTCAGATCATCCATAGATTTTATTAAACAGCTGTTTCCTCTTCTCTCTGCACCACTTCCCTTAATCTGCCCAAGAATTCAGAGGGTGTTACTGAGCTCAGACCCTTCTGTGCCAAATCCTCTGTCACGCAAAGAGCCGTCCTTCCCCTCCGGGCTGTTTCACCCCAGGTCCGCCAGGGACCCCTGTGTGTACACAGGGAGGGGCAGGCCAGAGATGGACAATTTTGCACCATCACCGTTGCTGCTGCTCCGCATGCGTGTCAGTGCATGTGCAGTTATGCCAAGATGCACCATCTCTGCCTGCATCAGCTCTTCAGCAGTTACTCCCAGGTCCCCCAACCTGCAGATGTAGAGAGGCCACAGCTGCCTGCACACCAGCTGTTTTGCACATCTGGGCATTTCTGTGAAGATGCATGACTGTGCCCAGCTCGCAGTTTCATGCTGCCTGCATACCAATGTGAATCCTCCCCTCTACAGCCCCTTCAAAATGTGCCCCAAGTGCCCATGAATTGTGCCAGAAAGGGATGCTCGTGGGCCATGTCAGCAACCTGAGGAGTAACGGCCGAGAACAGGCTGTCTCCGAGGATGGCGGTTTGGGGTCTGGCTGCCCAGGTGGACAGCCTGCGCTGCCCCCGTCACTGACTCACCTCCTGCAGCAGCACTGCTGGTTTGCTCCTTTCTCGATTCCTGTGTTGTGCGTGGAAATACATAATAAAGTGTTGTAGAAGTCACCTGTGTTGAAGGCTGATGCTTGAGTGCCAGCCTCTCTGCGGAGCGGGAGGAGGCAGGGCTGTGCAGAGCCGGCCCCTGCTCAGGCTGAGCCCAGGGCTGAAATCATGACAGCCCAGGGTTCCTCCTGTGGCTGTGGTTTCGGCTCATCAGCTAGTGTGGCAATGCCACCACAGCCCCCCAAATGCATGTACTTACTGCCTGATACGTGACTCCCACCTCCAGATCCGTGTGCATCTCCCTCTGCTTAAGGACCGAGACATAGCCGTCCCCCTTACCACCGCTCTGTGAACCTAAGACCTTGCTGTGCCCCTGAAAGATGCTCACGTGGAGCACACAAAGCCTCCTGAATGTGTCGGTGACAGCTGGTTTGTTTACAGAGAAGCTGTTTCCCCCTGTGGTACGGCCGAGCCTCGAGCCTCACGGCAGCAGCTGCTGCCTGCGAGGAGCCTGGAACCAGTCTGCCTGCATACCTGGTACTGCTCCCATCCACCAGCCTCCCTCGGTCCCTCTGGCAGCTTCCTGGGGGGATTTCTGTTGCAAAGGCTCCTCCTTTTCTGCTCTGACCCCCTTGTATTCCCAGCTCTGCCTGCCAGATGCATTTACTCCCCACGCGAACTGCCAGGCTGCTGCCCACTTGCACTGGAGCTGCTTGGAGAGGGGGCAGAGGGGCTGCCACAGGACCGGGACCACCTGCGCACCCGAAAAACATCTGCTTCGTTAAAGAATAAACAGGTGGGCCTCCCAGCAGGGTCAAATTAGACAAACAACCCACCACTAGGTACTGAGGGATGGGAGTGAGCAAGATGCTGGAAAAATAAGCCTGGAAAGTTGTATTTTTAATCTCTTTTAAGACATCACTGAGACCAAAAGTAAAATAATGCATCTAGCATGAGTTCATGTGATGGAAAAGCATATAGAAAAGCCCAGAAAATACCCTCTGAAAGGTAACTGAAATGCATTTTCCTAGCCCTCAGATTTAAGTCTCCTATCTTATCTGAAAGATGTTAGAATTTTCCAAAAATTACAGCACATATTGTATTTTCACAAGTAGCTGTTAAGACGAGCCCAGGAGGCAAAACATGAGGCAGTGACTGCAAAAGTAAAGCTCAGTTTAGGAATACATCGTTTAAGAGCGAAAACTGGCTGACCACTGAAACAAGGCAGCAGGTTTTCCTGCTCCTCATGGCTTCAAAGGGCACTTTCCCTCTCTAGAAGGTGCTTTAAGTCACTGGCCTGTATCACACATCCAGCGCCTGAGCCAGTCGTCCCCTTTGGGTTACATTCTCTGACGTGTATTATTTACTTTTGCATACACTGCGCTCTGTAAATATCTTAGTAAGCAGAGAAATAGAAAGGCAGTTTACAGTCGAATGGAGGTCTGAAGGAGATGGGGGAGTTAGCCATGTGGCAGGGCTGCAGGAAATGCCATCCCTGTGATGATGCTTCATGCTCCGGAGCATGATGGAGAGATTCCTGGGCTATCAGGGATGGTAACGACTGGGCTGTGCCCTGGGAGATCTTCCCAGCCGGATGGTACCAGCTTTCTGAATCATCTACCAAAGGTGCGTGCTGCTGCTGCTCCCTGCTTCTACCTCCAGCATGACCCACACGGGCACAACCGGCTACAGCAGAAACAATGTGGAGTTACTTATGTCTCATGCGCTGTTTATCGTCCCACAAAGATGACAGGAATCCAAAAATTATAATGTTTGTATAACTCCACGGTTAGAGGTACAGACAGGACTCTGTAATGGGTGTGGGGGGACAGGGCTGTCTCGCCCTGGTGCACGTGCCTGCCTGACGCCGCAACCGGCACCGCCAACAAGTTTGCTCAGCTCTGCAGAGCTGGCATGGGAAAGGTAAGTGCCTTTCTAGCACGTCTCGCTGGAGAGGGAAGAGAGAAAACTGGGAAGGAGCACGGCGGGTAGCAACGCTGGAGAGACGTACACAGAAACCCTGTGACGACGCACCAGGGCTGCCCGTGCCAGATCAGGTAACAGATTTGTTTGCACAAGAGCACTTGTTGTGCCACAGAGCTGTTCTCTCACCGGTGCAGTTAACGAGGAATGTATTTATGGTCCTTGAAAGCACAGGCAAAAGAAGCCGCACCCGAGCTGTGGGGCTGGGGGTCTCCTCCCGGCACTGCCACTGGGAAAGTCCCAACAAATCATTGCAGGCAGAGGCAGGATAAAATCATGCTTTAATCACACCCTGGAATGCCAACACATTGAGGGACAGAGCAGGGCAGGGTCTGGCACCCTGGGGCAGCGGGGCCAGAGACCCCACAGGGAGCACCAGGGCAGGCTCCTCTTCCCACCCGACCAGGCTGCCTGGGCACAACAGGCACCATCTCCTTCATCCTCAGTATCCAAGCAGGGCCGGGAGAGCAGCAGTGGCTCCAGTGTCCCCTGTGCCGGTGCAGCTCCACTGGCGTCTCACTGGGGCACTGTGGGGCCGGCTGCCTTCAGCCTCCGTCACCATTCCTAGTCCACCCCTTCTACCCCGTCCTCTCCGCTCCTTTCCGCCTGCCCCCAGCCACGTGGGCCCAAAAGCCGAGGGCAGGTGGGAAAGGGCAGGAAGGGGATGGAGGTATGGGGGATGGCGAGAGGCCACAGCGCTGGTGGCTGGGCTGGGCTCAGATGGAGAGGTGCGACTCCCACTCCTCTTCCTCCCGCTGCTGCTCACTTGGCTGGATGTAGTTGTCCTCAATGAAGCCATCATCATCCTCAGCTTGCAGACTGGCAGCACTGGGCATGGTATGGTTCTTGCTGGCCCCCCAGCCCCTGTCCCAGCTGCTGCCATCCTCCATGGGACTGCCTCCAGTGGAGCTGGTCTCGGGCAGCGGCCGGTGACGGTAGCTGGCGAAGTTCTTGTGGAAGAGCTTACACTTGGCAGCCAGCGCAATCAGGATGGAGATGCTGATTGCTGCCACCAGGAAGCCCACCAAGTACGGCCAGCTCCTTCCTCCCTTCCTGGAGGGCGGTGTGGTGGCTGCGGTGCAGGGAAGGCACATCAGGGCATGGCAGGTCAGCCTGCGGCATACCCAGTGCTCCTCAGCAGTCAGCCCTGTGCATGCCTGCGGCGTGCAGCCAGCACTGGATTGCTTTCATTAGGAGCGATATAAATGCTCTTCACCAAGGGCTAGCTACCAAGGGTGCATGAACACTGTGGGGAAAACTGCTGGTCATCTGTCTGATACTGGTGCCCATCACCGTGGAGTCTGTGTTCTGTGTGGCTCTGTGGCATCTGCTAACTTCTCAGCTGCAAAGCCAGCAAACACCTCCAGGTGGTGGCCACCCTCCCCACCAAGGCACCGCTGGAGGCCACCCTCCCCACCAAGGCACTGCACCAGCGGTGGCTGCGCAGCCTGAGCCCCTGGGACTGCGGGGCAGAGCAGGGGATCTCCGCCTGCAGTCCCCTCTGGGGTGACGGAAGGCAGGAGGGAGCTAGACCTTATGGATGCCCCCATAGCTGCACAACTTACTGTTGCTGTGGGCCACTGTGGTCTGCTGCACCGTGCTGACCTCCCGAGGAAACCGCTGCTTCATCTGGCAGCCCAGGTCCTGGGAATCCAGAGCTGCGACCTCCCGGCCCTGCAGCTCCGGGGGTGATGCACACGTCACCTGCACAGCTGGGAGAAACACGGGCTAAGGTGGGACAGAGGGTCTTCGCCCATCCCCTCCCCAGTTTAGAGAAGGGGCTCCTTGCTTGCTCCTGGGTTGATGAGATGCATCACAAGGTGCTCCTGGCTCTGCCCTCCAGCATTGCCGGTTCCCTGACCAAGAACCATGCAAGTGTATGACCATGAAGGCTTAGGAGGCTCCTTCTAACTGGATAATGCCAAATTCATGGATACTGATAGAAAACCCACTATTGCAGGGCTGCTTTCACCTGGGAGCTGAGCTCAGAGGGTTGGAGCCTGATCCTGCTCCACAGGAGGAACTGCTAAGTGCTCAGCAGCTCTTGAAAATGTGATCACTCCATGCAGATATATAAAGGTGGATTTAGGGGGCTGAACTGTACAGCCAGCCCCTTTCCCAGAAGAGTGACTGAACTATCCTGTCTCTTGTTCCTAGAAATCTTTGATGTCATGTGTAACTGCAAACGGGGAACTGACAACTTTCAGTTCTGTGTCCCTCAATAGGGTGGGAGAGGTCCCTGGGGAGCCATCACAGATCCTGCCCGGAGTTGGAGCAAAAGGATCAAGTGAACCCCTGCACCCAGGGTTCCTCCTGGCCAACAGCTCTCCTGCCACCCGCCCCCATCTGCTCACCTTGCCTGCGCTGCAGCCACTGCTGCAGAGGGTGCGCAGTGCAGTCGCAGACCCAGGGGTTCCCTTCCAGCCGGACCTGCGGGACTGCCTCCATCAGCTCCAGGCTCAAAGCGTTCACAGAGACCAGCGCATTGTGCTGCAGGTCCAGGTGGAAAAGAGCCTTCAGCGGCAGGAAGAAAGGGACCTCAAGCTCTTGCAGATTGTTATTTCTTAGGAGCAGTGTGTGCAAGTTTCCCAAGCCCTTGAAAGCATCTGTGTGGAGGTAGGCAATGCTGCAGCTGCTCAGGTCCAGCAGACGTAGTGCCCCAAGGTTGGAGAAGACTGCTGGGCTCAGCGCCAGCAGGGCATTGCTAGAGAGGTTGAGGGAGCGCAGGGAAGGGAAATGCATCAAGAGAGTCCCGTGACGGGGCATGACCAAGGAGTTGAAGGAGAGGTCCAAACTGGTGATGTTGCTTGGAAGGGAACTTGGAGCGTGCAGGAGGCTCTTCCCATTGCAGTCTGCCCATCCCTGAGAAAAAAGCTGCTGTCTGAAATGGGTTCTCCATGCTGGGGAGGATCCCTAGACTAAGACTCCCCAGAAGTTCAAATGTCTTAATTAATTACCCTTGCAGAGTTTAAAAAAGCAAAGACACAAACAGGCATAAAAAAACCATGAGCTGCCAGTTTGGTGTGGGCCAAGAGAAATGGAGAAAGATGAGCAGGATAGCCCAGGACTGAGAGCAGCTAACTGAAGAAGTAAAGGAAGAGCACAGAGAGCTGGGAGGAAACCCAGACGGGGGGGTAGATGTGGAGGGACGGGGATGTCACCCTCCTGTCCCCATTTCCAGGGCAGTTGCTATCTGGATTCAGCCTGCAGGACACCTGCCTCTTCCTCCCCCAGATCCCCACCTCCAGCCCCGGGGAGCTCTTGTGTGACACAAGGGCATCCTCCAGCTGGGGCAGGGAGGTGGGCGAGACCCCTGCCCACTGTGAGGGCAGGCAGGCAGCGGCAGCCGGCCAGGGCACCTGCACCAGCACCCATGTCAAGAGCTGCTCCCCAGGGCCTGTGCAGGGTGTTGTACCCCCACCCCCAGCCCTCCCGTGTTTCTGAGGATACACTGCGAGTGGCAGTTTAGTGCAGGCTGGCTCTGTCTACACTAGTAAATAAAACAGAGCAGGGACGGTTTGCTCTCCCAAAAAGCCAGCAGTGCATGCCGGATGGATAGATCAACCCACATGGATGGATTTTTTTGTTTTCCCCCAAAAACAAGGTAGCCAAATTCAAGCTGGTTTTGGGGAGCACTCCCCAGCATGTGTTACTCCTGCCTGGGCTTTATGTGGGAGAGGGCCAGTTGCCCAAACTGAAGCTGCCAGGGAGCAGGTCAGCAATTTAAGTGTGGTTGGACAGGCACAGGGCTCCTGCTCGATGCCGAGTTTGGGCCCTGCAGGCAGAGATGCTGTGCTGGAAGTTTGCCGCAGTCCGTAGTCCCAGGTTTCCAGGTCTGCCTGCTTTCCAGCTAGCTGGCCTTTCCGTTTCTTTGCCTCTCACGTGATCACCTCTCCTTTCATCCTCCTGTTCACCTAAATCTCCTATCAGGCCCTGCTGTCCCTGCTTGCCAGAGGAACAGATGTGCACTTGTAAGTCTGGGCTGCGGAAGACTGGGTTACAACGAGCTGAGCCATGGGGGCATCGCACAGGTCCTGTCTCAAGCTCAAACCGAGCTGGGTTTGGGAAGGCGGGGGAAAACAGTGCGAGCCTTCTGAGGGAGGATCTGAGAGCTCAGTGGGCAGTGCTGCCCTGTGCCATCGGTCCGCAACAGCCGCTTTTCCTGCTTTCTCCTGCCTCCCACCCAGTGCAGCCGAGCTGCTGGCTGTGGCACTTGTGGCACAGTGCATCCTGCTGTGGCAGGATGAGTTAGTTATACTTCCTGCTCCTCGCCAGGGCTCAGGGATCCTGACCCCACGGTTGCCCTGACCCTGGTGTTGGCCACTGCATCACTGGGCACTGGGGAAGGGAGTGAGGGGCTGGGAGCCCCTCAGGGATGTGCCTCGCTGCTGCTTGCCATGCACCCCTTATGGGCAGAGCCACCCCTTATGGCGAGCTGTGCTATGGCAGCAGCCAAGAAACCCACGGAGTCAGAAGTGCCATGGCTCAGAGAAGCCTTTCGCAGCCCCGCTGTGCTCCGGTGAATGGGCTGGACAACGGTGAGATGTTCAGCCCAAGGCTGGGAGCTGGGGTGCTGCAGGGCTGGGAGCAGGACAGCCCAGCTCCAGGTGTGGGTGAAGCACCCCTGTGGCTGGTGGCCACTGGCACAGCACGTCTCCCAGTTAACTCCGCTTGCTCCCATGGGTTTTCATTGCTCATCGTGTCTCAAGCC